TATCTTTGGGGGATATATACCCCTTTCCAATTCCCTCTTTTTGCTTTAATAAGTACATTTTAATAGTTTGATGAGCTCTTTCAACTATGCCTTGTCCCTGTGGATTGTATGGGATTCCTGTTAAGTAAAACATTAACTGATTTTTCTTCAGGGATGGTGTTCCAAAATATCCTATATGCATCCTTTGGAAATTTAAAGATCCTTTTAAATTAAGTCTTCCAAAAGCATTTTGCCTTAGTTTTTAGAATTACTTTAGTCCTTTTAATTTTTTGATGTGGTTTTAAACCAATTTCCTTCTAGTTTACCGTTTTCTAAATTGACTCTTGTCTATAAATTTTAACACCCTCATCTGAGACTTCTAATTTCTGCACCACCAGAAATTGTCTTAGCTTTTTGTATTTTTTATCTGAAATATCTTTATTTGACATTTTTAACCATTTTTTATCTTGTTTCTATCTTCTAGTTTTTTTCTAAGATTTGTACATTTACCCTTAGTTGCTTTTTTTCCTCCTAGTTTTTTTGTTTGTTTGTTTCCTATTTTGTGGGTTTAAAATTTTTGTCTTCCTACATCTTTTCTATCTTTCTACATCTTCTCTATCTTTTATTTTACCTTTCTGTACTTCTGTCTTTAAAGTTTTCCGCTTCAAATTTTTAATCTTCTTTATCCAAATATCTTTTATCCTATTATCTTCCCATTTTCATGGGTTTTTTTTAAGTAATGCTTTTAAGATTAACTAGGCTTTGAATGACTCAATCTTTCCTCCACCATGAAGTCATCTTAACCACCTTCAATTTAACCTTTTAAAGCCTTTTGTAACTTACTTAGACATTTTACAACTTTTTACTTTACCACACAAAGATTATCTCATCTAGAAACATTTCTTTTTTCTTTAACCTTTTATATTAAAATATATTTCCACATCTTGAATCTTTTTATATCTCTTTTCTAGCCATTAACCCTTGTAAAATTTCTGATTTAGACAAATTACTCCACTTTAATAAGATGAAATACTTTCATGTTTTTTTTTATGGTATTATAATACTATAATTGAAACCCAACTGAAACTTCTTATACTCTTTGTATTTAAATTACACCTGATAGAATCTTAACTCTTAGTAACCTTGTTTCAGCAAAGACACAGACACAAAGCAATATTAAACTTTTTTTCCATTTACCAATTTATGAAAACACACATAATGTTTAAATATATTTCCTTATGGAACTTAATAAGTAAAGAGTACTTGATTTTATATTTAGTGGTTGATGTTTCAATACTTTAGCTTTGTAAATTAATCAGATGTCTGTAAAAACCAAGACCTTAGACAAGTGTAGTAAACAGAATTAGCCATCTCTTTCTTGTTGAAGAAAAATCTTTTTACAGGATACCATGATGGTCCCATGTGATATATTTAACAACTCCTCTTTAAAAAACCATGGGCTACATTTTTGTATTGTATCAACATATGYCCTAACTGTTCTTGGTCTTACTGGGGTGCCTCCTTCCTCTAACAATTTCTCTTCCTCAGGGGCAAACAACTTCAAACTTTGAGCCAACCATTTTCCCCAGTTTTCCTGAGAAAGTTCTAGGGACAGGCAACTTGAAATAAAAACAAAATAAATCAAAACAAGAACACATTGTTTTTTGAAATGATCACCCTTTTTTTTTTTTTTTTTTTTTTGCTCTTCCTCAGGGGCGAGCAATTTCACTTACCTCCAAGCTTCAGGTGTTCCCCGTACAGGCCACCAAATGCCGCAGTCTGGCTGGGCACAAATAACCCAGCCACCACAAAGCCTTGTAGGTTCAAACAGCAACTCTTTATTCCCAAACTCTCACTGGCACTCTACACACACTTCCCGGGAACACACTCCCTCCACCGGGCTCCACGTGCCAGTTCTCACGGAACCCCAAAGTAGCGGGTGCCAGAGCAGAGGCAGCAGGATCCACCCTAATCCCGAAGCAGGGTCACCTTTCAACCATTTCCTCTAGCAAAATGCCAGGCGTCATTCCAACTAAACTGTGGCTCTCAACATATGATACCCTTTGCTCTATGCAGTATGTACCTTGGAGATTTCAGCTAGCCTTATAGCATGGATACTAGCTTTTTAAAAGATTCGTAGCTAAATTAACAAATTACTATTAAGCAAAAGGCACTATTCTAAGTATTCAGTGATAACCAAAACAGTTCAATCTCACAAAAAGCTTCCTATCTACTAGAAGAGAGAGAGAGGTATCATATCATTCTGTGGCAGCATTGTGTATTGGAAAGAACACTGGATTTAATCAAAAGATAGGAGTTTGAATCCCGATACCACCTCTTACCAACTGGGTAACCTTGGGTATGAATTGCATAACTTCTCTGAGCCTGCTTTTTCTCAAATTGTCTACCTCACAAGGTTACTGTGAAGAATAAATGAGTGATGGTCTCTGAAGCCCCTGCCCTGATCTGTCTCCTGAGCTGCATTTCCATCTACATCTCCCCAGTTTGTCAGATGTCAAAATATATTAAAGTCAAAAAAATAATGAATTTTTATGGCCTCTTTTTCTGTTATTACCAATAAATTTTGTGTTATTTACTGATTTCTACTCACTGTACCTTCCATGTTTTCCTGTCATTCCAATTCAAAATGTCAGTGATTGTTGCCTCCTCTTTTTCCTTAACAGATTATGTAATACTGCATTACTAAATCTCTGTTTTTCCTTTGCTTCATCACTTGCCTTTTCTCATTCCATTTCCATAACCCTCCAGTTCCAGTCTTACTCAAGTCATACCAAGAATTGTACAAGCTTCCTAATTGATCTCCTTCACACCTTTACTATGCAGCCTATTCTTATTATTTCATCCCATGAAATACCATTCCAATTCTCAAGCCCTTTAATTAGCAGCCTTCATTAATTCCTGCATTGCCAGATAACATCTATTCTCTTGGCTAGCATTGAAAGCTTTCCCCATCAGCTCCGGCTTGACTCTAGCCATCTCTCTCATTTAACAAATGGCATTCTGATCAATCTCAGTTACTTACCATTCCCTGGTAGTGAACATCTTTGAGCTCTCTTTGACACTCCCTTCTCATGCTTATATATTCCTCCATTGTTTTTACTTACTGAACTTTTCCCATCTTTCAGATGTGAAATCTAAAATACAACTAGATCTTTGATAAATTAAGGCAAAACTCCTAATGTAAACATCACTGACTTTTCAATCTCACCATTGTCTTCCTTCCAGCATCATTTGCCATTTAACACCCTTCTATTGCTGTGCACCAGCTCTAATAAATTACTTGCCTTTTTCCAGACCTACCATTATCTTGCATAATTCCATTTATTAGTGTGTGTAGGATAAATGCTGCCGTCCTTGATTTCTTCAATTAGAAGTCACCTCTTTCTTTAGAACTATGGCTAGAATAGGACTTTGCTTATCATGCATGAAATTTAACAGGTACTGCTTTCTCTCATGGCTTTCCAGTGTATTGAGTTACCCCTGCCTCTTTAAAGGAGGGGGTTGTACCTTCTATAACTTTGTGCTCTGTGGTGCATTATGTACATTTAGGTATTAAAATGTTTGATAGTATTACTGTTAAGGTATATTAAACTAGAAACCCAGTGTAACCGAATGCCAACCTCTGCCCTCTGTGACCCAATTTCTCCCTGTGGTGTTCTCTCCTTATTCCAGGTCTCTCAGTGTACTTGTTCCTATTGCCTTTTCCTTTTGGCTAACTTCTTCTGGGCCTTCTCTTCACCATCTTCCATCTGGCTGTTGAGGTGACTACTAAACTGGATGCTAATTCAGATCTGAATGTTCACCTTAATTAAGAATGTTGTTCAGGTCAAAAGTTTAAGATTAATTGGAGTTGTGATAACTTGTGTTTTTTTATTCCCAGTCCAGTTTTGAACTACCTTTTGGCTCTGAGTCTGCTTGTGGGATTATTAGCCCTTTTTTTTGGTTTTAGTACTCTTCTTCTAGAAATGTTTTGGGATGAATCTAAGAACCTATAGATTTTTTTCCACAATGTATATAATTAGTCCTATGTTTTGTATTTAAATTTTATCATTTAAATTATAGGTTGAAAATCTTATGATGAAAATAAATTTATTTTTCTTTTAACAGTGACATTGTGAGGAAGATTGATCAGTCTGAATTTGAAGGTTTTGAGTATATCAATCCTCTTTTGATGTCTGCAGAAGAATGTGTCTGATCCTCATTTTTCAACTGTGCATTCTCCTTATGTTGCCATTTAATGCATGGATAAGCTTGTTACCAGCCTGGAGACAATTAACTATTTTATATTTGCCACCCCTCCCCCCAAAAAAACACAACAATATCTTATAGACTATAAGAATAAATATAACTGAAAAAAATTAAAACTAGCTTTCAGACAATCATGTCAAAATTTAGTTGGATTGAATCTTCAGAGGCCGGATGAGTAATGAAATTACTTTTTTAATTTAAAGGAAATAACCACTATTTTAAAACAAATTATCTGTTGCATTAAGGCACATAGTGGGATTACATCATAAGCTCCTCATAATTTTTGTCATTCTCTATTAATTTGGAATAAAAGGTTAATTCAAAATGCAGCAAATTTTATATTACCTGTTAGTTTCAGAGTTCTTTATGTTTAACATTCAACTATAAGATTTCTCATTGTCTTGGATAATTATTAATTTTTAAGGCAACAATTACTAAATTGGTAATAAAAGACATTCCCTTAGAATTGGGCATTACAAATTCCTCTAGGTTAAAAAGTAGACATATTAAGAATCAGATTCCAAATCATTAGCTATTTTTTAAACACTGGCACAAATGATTTTTAATTTTTTTTTTAACAATAAGAGATAGTTTTTGAGCTTATCCTTTTAGTGAAAACTTAATGTTAATATATGTGTTCAAAAGACACAGAATGCAGTCAAATGGAAAACTGCTAGGTATATAGAAAGGAAAATAATAGACATTTAAAGTAGATACAGAAAAGTGCAATGGTAATATTTATTTCTTACTGGAGAGTGAATCCTGCAGTTATTCTTTATGATCTAAATAATGAGGAGGCACTCATTTGTTACCAAACTTGTAAAAGCATTCCATTTATTCGGTGGAGGCAGAATGTATAATATTTGTTCCTTATTTAGTACACAGGAAATTAATTTATCTTCTAAGTAGAAAGTCTTAACTCCAATAGTTTCTTTCCCCAAAACCACATTTTTGGTACTTTTGGGTCATGTTTATGGAATCCTCAATGAAATACAGAATAAAAAGAAACCAGTAAACATGAATAAATGTTTAGAGCCACATATAACACTCAAACTTATCACAGTTCTCTCTCTTTAACTGAGTTTTTATTTAGTAACTAATACATGTAATACAAAGTAGAATACATTTCAGGAGCAGAGTTTTTCATATTTTTTATTAATATTGGTGTTTAGTAACTTAGTATTTGAAGAGGTGCCAGATATAGCATCCTTCTGTTGCTTATTTTAAATATCATTTTTATGAAAAAGGGCTTTAAAAAAGTAACCATAATCATCTAAATAAATAACTGTCCAATCTTGGTAAAATGTAATTTTAATTTTTTTTAATTTAGAATGATTTAAAATTTATAGACATTTAATAAATTTCTCTGTCTCTGAATACTGCATTTCATTAGAAATGTAATATTCCAGTTTGTGGTCACATATTCTCCTTTCTTCAAATAAATAAGTCTGAAAGCAGTGAAAAACTCAAAGGAAAATGTTTATATACATTTGCATGTTCATTTGAGAGGTGTTTATGTTTCTCTTAATACCTGAAACTTGTTTTAAAACAAAAAGCAGTATTCACTTCATGTCATAAACTTATATAGGGAATTCTGACATCTTGCACCAGAAATGTTCATGGTCTTGCTTTTAAGTGGTGCTGTTTCCCCTGGGAAAGCTTAGAATGTGGCATTATCACCCAGGGAGTTTGTTTAAAATGCAGGGGCCAACTTAGAATTTTGTTGGGCCTTTGGACCTCATTTTGAAAAATAATTTCTTCAAATTCTTTTTTGTCCTGTGGTTAAATATTAGAGCATTCCTTGTAAATAACAAATGGCAAGGTATAACCTGTCTACATTTTTAAACAAATTATAAATGAATAATTTCAAGTTAGGTATCTTCCCCACCTTGCCCGGCAACAAAAGCTATCAGTTTTCTACCAATAATATACAAAGGATGAGCATTTTTGTATGATATAGTTTTAACCATTATTCAGGGTAATCTTTTATTTTAAAATCCTTTTTTAACTAATAAGATTTACTGTGTATATTTTATACAGAATTACATTACAAATGTTTTTAATTGTGTTTTTTTTTTTTTTTTTTTTGGAGTCTTTTAAGTGCCATGCCGGTCCTTTTTGTGTTATGTAGAATTTCTCTCAAAATACTCACCAGGGGAATCAGGCAGTGGATAGTCAGAATGGTTGGTGTATTTGTGTTCTAGGAAATAATTTATTTTGCATAAGCATGTGGTCAGATCATTTTATACATATGCAGCCTGGATTGGACATCAGGTATATTATGCTCATTCTGTGCCGGTACAGTTACTTTATCAATTTGTTTTGTTTTGACTTTTGTCAAGTAGAGTACTGCCTTAGTCATCATAATGTAATCTGTATTTGTATACCTTTTTTTTTTACATTAAAAACTTCAAATAAAATATAATACCCATAAGAAGTGGATTGTTTTTTATCATGCACCATGTCAAAAATTTGTGTCAGAATAGGGTGTGTTAAAATGTGCTCAAGAAAACAAAATGAAAATTTTAGAACTTGGAATTTTTGCTATAATTAAAATAGCAGTCCAGTAGTACCTATGCTATAGTATAGACATTCACTCATCGATTAAAGTATTCCCTAGTGTATTTTTTTATTTTATTTTTTAGTTCTAGGTGGACACAATATCTTTATTTTGTTTTTATGTGGTGCTGAGAATCAGTGCCTCACACACACTAGGCAAGTGCACTACCACTTGAGCCACATCCCCAGCCCCTCTAGTGTATTTTTAATTTATTCTTCCTTTTTTCTCTTTCTTTGGAAAATAATTATTAAGAAACAGGCTGGGGCTGGGGCTGTAGCTCAGTTGCAGAGCGCTTGCCCAGCATGTGTGAGGTACTGGTTCTTTTTTGTTTGTTTTGTTTTTAATATTTTTTAGTTGTGGTTGGACACAGTATCTTTATTTTATTTATTTATTTTTATGTGGTGCTGAGGATTGAACCCAGCACCTAGGCAAGCACTTTACCTCTGAGCCACAACCCCAGCCGCAGGGGCACTGGTTTTGATCATTAGTACTGCATAAAAATAAATAAATGAATAAATAAATAATTGTTTAAAAAGAAAAGAAACCAGCTGAATAGAACATTTTAATTGGCTTGATTGATTGATTTTACTGAGGATCGAATCCAGGGGCTCCTTACCACAGAACTACATCCCAGTCTTTTTAAAAGTTCTTATTTTTTACTTTGAGACAGGGTCACATTAAATTGCTGAGTCTGGCCTTGAACTTGCAGTCCTCTTGCCTCAGTCTTTCAGATTACTGGGATTATAGGCATGCACCACCCACTGTACCTGGCTTAACTGGCTTTAAAACTGAAGCAAATTATATTGTTATGTGCATGTACAAATATGTAACAACAAATGCTGCTGTTGTATACAACTATCATGTGCCAGTAAAAATGGGGGAAAATGTTACATCATAGTCTAGGACGAAAAAAAACTGAAGCCGATTTAAACAGATGTTTCCCATATTGTGTTCTACAGTGATCTACTCTGTTCTAGAAGTCTGGAACTTTCTCAGTAATAGTTCTGTCCACATATAAACAAGTATAAGTATGGTGTGCCATACTTAATCTTTTAACCTAGTGGTGTCTTCCCTTCATAAGGAGAATGATGTCTTAAGTGCCTTTTCTTTTTTATTGTCAAAGAGCAGGAGCCTGTACATTAAAACCACTCCTATTGGGCTGGGGGTATAGCTCAGTTGGTAGAGTGCTTTCCTTGCMTGCACAAGGCCCTGGGTTCAATCCCCAGCACCAAAAAAACAAACAAAAAACCCACTCCTGTCTTCTGTATTATTTTACCCTAATTTCAACTCTTGCTTAAAATGGAGTTAGAGGCAGTATTAATGAGGTATTGTCTATATTATTCCCTGTATCACATCATAAATTTAATTGTTTTCTGTGAGTTAGTAAAACCCCAAAACAGCCCAAAGAGGAACTTGAAGCTTCAGGCAAATTTTGGATTGAAGCCTTTAGTCACTGGGGCAACCTGTTTCTCCCTGAAAGGTAAAACCAGTCTACAGACCTGGATATTGAACAGCTTGGTTTCTGGACAACACCCAGCACTGAGTCATTTGACCTTCTGATGATCTTTTGTAGATTTACTCTCCTCTGCTGTGGTACTTATGGATTGGTTAAGAACCAGATAGTCTGAGTAGTTTGTATCCAGAGTTTATTGTTCCAGAATATACTGTAACTTGTTACCACTGTGCTAAATAACACTAATAAAAAAAGTGAACCTATGCCCTTGACATTCAAGATAGAAAAGCAGACATACTGAGAAGCATTCATTTCCATAACTAGTTCAATAATAAAAGCCAAATAAATGCAGTAGAATACATGTTAAGTGCTCATAACAGGTTATGAGCTTTACCAATGAAACTTGAATGAGTTTTACATAACATTCTTTTCTCATTGATCCATGCTAGACATTTTTCAGACTTATGGTAGATTCCATGAAGCTTTCTGAGTTCATAAAAACACCCTAAGAATAAATCTTAGTGCGTGTGTTCCCCCCCGCCTCCCATATGCACCCACACTATAAGATTGTTTTGGGGCATGTGCTGAAAAATATGAATTGGGTTTTACATAAGAATGGGAGTACAAACTGGTGCTTCTGGTTAGATTATTTATAATCCATGGCTGAAATTATTAAGGTGAATCTGGCTCAGGATGTGAAGTATTGCAGTGCAATTCATTTTCATGTAGCAATTTGTGCTTTACTGGTGTTAGCATTGTATTTTTAATGTTTTTGTTGGAGAAACAAATAACAAATATCTAAGAATTAAGTAGCTATTTAGTATGATCTTTTACAGAATATCTGAAAGCCCAAAACCTATGCCAGGTGGATTCACTAGACTGCAGAGTTTGTTAGCTCAGATTTACAGCAAGAGTTAGCTGGTCAGAAGCAAATTCTAACTATAAGAAAGCTTGTTGAGGGCTGGGGATGTGGCTCAAGTGGTAGCGCGCTCGCCTGGCATGCGTGCGGCCCAGGTTCCATCCTCAGCACCACATACCAACAAAGATGTTGTGTCCGCCGAGAACTAAAAAATAAATATTAAAAAAAAATTCTCTCTCTCACTCTCTCTTTAAAAAAATAAAAAAAAGAAAGCTTGTTGAAAGGCTCTAGCAAAACCTTTGATATATTAGATGCTTTGTTTTTTTCCAT